ACACAACTCTGCCTTATATGGTGCTCTGTTGGCTAAGATGACCCTAAATTGAAGACGCTAAGTGTTTTTTAACATGATTTTATTTTTTTCATATGTACACCGTGCTCATGTTTAACCTCCCTATGATCTATGTGATCAAATAAAGTATTGTTAAAATTCCTTTGAATTCATATTACTCCGCGTGGATCATCTAGAAACCTTCTTTTTTCAGATAGGTGTGTCCTTGTCACACTATCATATTGCTTAGAGGACAATGACAGTATGTTGTTGTAGGCAGAAATTTTACCATAAAGGCAGTCAGTAGCAGAATGAAGAAGGGGAGGGTTGAGGTGGCGAAGCTACAAGATTCATACATAATCCTAGATGCATGTACAGTCATGGCCGAAATTGTTGGCACCCTTGATATTTTTCCTGAAAATCAAGTATTTCACACAAAAAAGGTATTGCATTAACACATGTTTTGCTATACACATGTTTATTCCCTTTGTATGTATTGGAACAAATATAAAACAGAGGCAGAAAAGCAAATATGACATAATGTCACACAAAACCCCAAAAATGGGCTGGACAAAAGTATTGGCACCCTTAACTTAATATTTGGTTGCACACCCTTTGGAAAACATAACTGAAATCAGTCGCTTCCTATAACCATCAATAAGCTTCTGACACCTCTCACCCGGAATTTTGGGACCACTCTTCCTTTGCAAACAGCTCCAGGTCTCTCTTATTGGAAGGACACCTTTTCCCAACAGCAATTTTAAGATCTCTCCACAGGTGTTCAATGGGATTTAGATCTGGGCTCATTGCTGGCCACTTCAGAACTCTCCAGCGCTTCTTTGCCATCCATTTCTGAGTGCTTTTTGACGTATGTTTGGGGTCATTGTCCTGCTGGAAGACCCAGGATCTTGGACGCAAACCCAGCTTTCTGACACTGGGCCCTACAGTGCGACCCAAAATCCTTTGGTAATCCTCAGATTTCATGATGCCTTGCACACAGTCAAGGCACCCAGTGCCAGAGGCAGCAAAACAACCCCAAAACATCATTGAACCTCCACCATATTTTACCGTAGGTACTGTGTTTTGTTCTTTGTAGGCCTCATTCCGTTTTCGGTAAACAGTAGAATGATGTGCTTTACCGAAAAGCTCTATCTTGGTCTCATCTGTCCACAAGACGTTTTCCCAGAAGGCTTTTGGCTTACTCAAGTACATTTTGGCAAACTGTAGTCTTGCTTTTTTATGTCTCTGTGTCAGCAGTGGGGTCCTCCTGGGTCTCCTGCCATAGCGTTTCATTTCATTTAAATGTCGACGGATAGTTCGCGCTGACACTGATGCTCCCTGAGCCTGCTCAGGACAGCTTGAATGTCTTTGGAACATGTTTGGGGCTGCTTATCCACCATCCGGACTATTCTGCGTTGCAATCTTTCATCAATTTTCCTCATCCGTCCACGACCAGGGAGATTAGCTACAGTGCCATGGGTTGCAAACTTCTTGATAATGTTGCGCACTGTGGACAAAGGCAAATCTAGTTCTCTGGAGATGGACTTGTAACCTTGAGATTGTTGATATATTGCCACAATTTTGGTTCTCAGGTCCTCAGACAGTTCTCGTCTCCTCTTTCTGTTGTCCATGCTTAGTGTGGCACAGACAGACACACAATGCAAAGGTTAAGTGAACGTCTCTCCTTTTTATCTGCTTTCAGGTGTGATTTCTATATTGCCCACACCTGTTACTTGCCCCAGGTGAGTTTACAGGAGCATCACATGCTTGTAACATTCTTATTTATCCGCAGTTGTGAAAGGGTGCCAATACTTTTGTCCAGCCCATTTTTTGGAGGTTTGTGTGACATTATGTCGAATTTGCTTTCTTTCCTCCCTTTTTTTGTTTTGTCCCAATACACACAAAGGGAATAAACATGTGTATAGCAAAACATGTGTTAATGCAATACGTTTCGTGAGAAATACATGATTTCCTGGAGAAATATCAAGGGTGCCAACAATTTCGGCCATGACTGTATACCTATATATACACCTTGCAACTTACAGGACTTAAAAGGATCAGCTACAGACAGCTTGATGCCAGATACAACAGGTACCTTCAGAGGTCATGCCTCGATGGGTTTTGGTGGGTGGTCATAATGTTATGGCTGATCAGTGTATGTATATATATCATCTTTAATGCGAATATACAATCTATAACACCCAATGACAAAATTGTTTACATTGATATGATTATTTTCACATGAAAAAAACATTTTAAAAAAGTTATAAATTACTTTCAATAAAGGGTGTTTAAGGATAAAGATCAGTGTTCTAAAGCAGCTGGAGAACATTACATTGCTGACACTACGTCTGCTTTTCAATGGTGCGCTTAGCAGAGGATGATGGAGCACTGGCGACAGAATAAGAGCTTTCAAATAATTTAAGTCATATGTCATATAATATAAAGATGATATGATGTTAGGGTACAAGTTTATGTTCCCTAAAATAGGACTTTATACATGGAAATGCAAGACTAGCAATATTGTGCAAAAGTGGAAAGTTTAATTTGAACAGTCAGCTCATCACTTGCTGACCATAGCCCACAGGGCACCTCCACCAGGCTGCAAATACTGGATGATCACGGCTCCTTCCTCTTTTATGAGTGTTGCAAGTCTAAGGTAAACACATGTGCATCTAAGATATGTGTCCATGCTGTGAGTGTTACAGGGGAATGCAAAGAAAATCTACAAGTCATTTTGGTTCTTGTCTGACAGCCCATACTCAGTCTAAAGCCGATCTTGCATTACGATCACGTGCATACTGTATCAGTACGAAAGCCAAAAGGTCAAAAAGAACTGCCTAAAGAGCTCAGAGATAGGATTATTGCACATCTGGGGAAGGCTACAAAATTTTTTTTGCTGCGCTGAAGGTTCCAAAGGGCACAGTGGCCTCCATAATTCACAAATGGAAGAAGTTTGGCACAAATCAGGACTCTACCAAGAACTGGTCACCAAGCCAAACTAAACAAGTGGGGGAGAAGAGCCTTAGTAAGAAAGGTGACCGAGAACCCGACGGTCAGTCTGACTAAATTCCAGAGATCCTGTGTGGAGATGGGACAAAGTTCAAGAAGGACAACCATAACTGCAGCCCTCCACCGTTCTGGGCTTAATGGCAGAGTGGCTAGAAGGAAGCCTCTCTTCTTAAGTGCACAGAACACTTAAGAAAAAAAAAAAGTTTGGGGTGGAATGACACTTTATAGAAATATAATCTTGATACTACATGAATTAGGAACAAAACAACACATAGGAGTATAGTCTGACTAGGCTTACCAATAGAGGGCAACAAAACAAACAGTATACACATAGACAAAAGGTGTATACATGTACATTCACACTTGATCTGTTTAACCTCTACCTTAGAATAATTCAGTACACACATTAACCACATGCCGCACAGCTACTGTAGAAATATGGCGGCAGGGCGGCACGGCTGGGCAAAACCACGTTTTAAAACGTGTTTTCAAAACAGGTAGGGGGCGCGCGTGAGGTGCGCCGCTGCCCTACCTGTCCCGCCCATCATGGCTGCGGATGTCAGTCGCCGGGTCACAGCCGGTCGTTACCGGCTATGTCCCGGCGATTAGCAGCAATCACTGACAGAGAGCACAGCTGCAGTAGCTGTGCTTTCTATCAGTTCCCGGACAGCTCCTGACACGCTGATTGGGACAGAAGAGTTTATCTGTCCAGATCAGTGTGTCTCCGTGCAGTACACACCCCCGCCCCCTAGTAAAACACTCCCCTCACACAGTTAACCCTTTCACTGAATAATAAAGTTAACCCCTTCCTCCCCAGTGCCATTAGTACAGTATCAATGTTTTTTTTTTTTTGCACTGATCACTGTATTGGTGTCACTGGGGATGTCAGTGACCCCAAGTCAGTTCCCCCCCAGTGTCAGAATGTCCGCCGTAGTCCCGCCATAAGTCGCTGATCGCCGCCATTAGTATAAAAATTTTTTTTAAAAATCCCAGTATCTTTTCCGTCATTTGTAAACGCTATAACTTTCAAGTAAACCAATTAATTTACACGTATTGGGTTTTTTTTTTTTTAGCAAAGACATGTCGCAGAATACATTTTGGCAGAAATTTATGACAATTTGATTTTTACATTTTTTTTTTACTGGACATGTTTTATAGCAAAAAGTCCAAAATATAGTTTTTTTTCCTCAAAATTGTCAGCCTTTTTTTTTATAGCGCAAAAAATAAAAATGCACAGGCGATCAAATACCACCAAAAGAAAGCTCAATTTGTGGGGAAAAAAAACCGTATTGCATGGAGGTAAATTTCATTTATGTACCGTATTGCATGACCATTGACCGCAATTGGTCCGTTAAACTATGCGCAGCCCTCAATTGTCCGTTAAACTAGCGCAGCACTGTATAGCAAAAAAATGGCGTAAATTGCAGTATCTATACCAGCAATGGGCAAACTACGGCCAAAGGTATACACTATGGGGATACGATCTATACGATCTATACCATAGATTGTAGATGCCATAACTTTCACGCAAATCAATCAATATACACTTATTGGGGGGATTTTTTTTTTACCAAAAACATGTAGCAGAATACATTTTGGCCTAAATTTACAACTAAATGAGTTTACTATATATTTTATATAGCTGAAAGAAAAAAATATTGTTTTTCTTCAAAATTTTTGGTCTTTTTGTTTATAGTGTGAAAAAATAAAAAGCGCACAGGTGATCAAATACCACCGAAAGAAAGCTCTATTTGTGTGAAAAAAAAATATTGGAAGTAAATTTTTCGTTTGGGTGCAGCATTGCATGACCGCGCAATTATCAGTTGAATTAGTGCAGCGCCGAGTAGCAAAAAGAGGCCTGGTCATTAAGGGGGGTAAATCCTCAGGAGGGCAAGTGGTTAACGAAAAATGTTTTTGAGTAGACTGTGGGATACCAAGATACAAAATTAAGTGGGTAGTAAAAAGCAGACAGACTCTGGTGATAGCATTACCTTATCATAGAGGTTTTCAGAGGCTGGGCTAGCCAATATTGTTATCAGTACTTTCATGCAATGCAGGCTGATATCTGTACAGTACTGCTGGCATATGCTAATCAAGGACTGTAGGCAGCACAGCAACTGCTCCAGGTACAGCACCTGTCAAATTAAAAAGACACATTAGACAGGAATAGGTCCATTGTTAGGAAGTACAGATGAGAAATAAAGATATTCTGACCTAATAGCTTGCTGATTAAACCATAAAATGATACTTCTCGGTCATCACATACCAATCATACCTTTCAAATGGACACAGATGGACACTTAAGATTAGCCTCAATAGACACATTTATCAGGGTTTAAAAATGTAGAACCACAGTATAAGAAAAACACATCTAAGAAGCATTTTCACTGTAAAGCAACACAAAAAACAGCAAAGCAGCAGAACCCTACCGATTGTTTTCAGTATAGACTGACTCATAGACTGGTTTAAAGGCTTAGTTCACCTTTGGAATATGTTATAGCCATATTTAGGATGTAACATGTTCCAGCTTGTGCCTCACTCACTCCCCTCACTCCTTTCTCTGTGACAGCGGACAGAGGATCCTCTTCCCGTACCCACTGTCACATTTTAAAAATGAGCACGGCTGTGTGGGCTTCTGTCTGCAAAGCCGTGTCATTCATTCACAAGAATCTGTGAATGAGAAAACGACAAATGCTGTCTGTCACCGCGGCAGATGGCTTGTAGCTCTCAATTATCTATAAGGGTGCTGATGAGTGCCTTGTAATTCATTGACACTTTCTCCAGCTTTCTAACAGAAATCCCATACAGAGGTATGGCCAAAAAAGCTGGATTAAGTGTCTGCAGGAGCCTGACATTGCACACGCGATCCACTGATTACAGGTTCAATGTTTTTAGCCCCCGGAAGACGTGTGGTATGATGAAATGCATCGGGCGAAGCCTCCCTTGTGATATCATCACGTAAGATTTGCCGTTTATACTGTTCCCTATTGTTGGATGCTTTTTATAAACATTGGAAATTTTAAATTGCTTGTGTGTTTCCTCTTTTTTTAAAAAAAGGTTTGCAAACTATCTACACTATGAGAGGCACTTATTTATTTTTACATGGATGTATATTAACTCCGTGAGTTTGGGATGGTTGGAGGAGTAATCGAGGGTACATGTGGTCCAGTTTAGGACATGGGAGTCAGTATTGGATGTTTTTCAACAAAGCGCATGTTGACCTCGTATAATTAAGGGGGCAAAGGGTCTGGTAAGCCTCCAACTTGTTGTCACAGTGGTGTAGTTTTTGGTGGCTACATAAGCTGGAATGAAGATCTGGGATCATCCTTTAAAAAAAAAAAAAAAAAAAGGGGACTGTTCTATATACCCTTAAAGGGACTGTCACACATATAATTAGTATTTTTCACTTTATTCTTTGGTCATTGGGTTATCTTTGAGCACTTTATTCACTGTTCACAACTGTATACTTATGAAACATGAATCATTAAATTTTTTATGATTTATATATAACTTATTGTTATATTAGCGCAATACCAGGTATTTATCCATTTATTCATTGATAAGAGAGGATATCCTCTTAGTGTGTTTGCTGCTTTGTTTTTTTTTTTTCAATTTAAGCATTTGCACAGTTTGATTTTGTTAATGTACAGGTTCAATGTTTTGCAGGCTCCCATGGAAAAAAAATGCACTTTTTTTATGCAAAAATACAGTATGTGCATTTATTTTTCCTAAAGGGTGAACTTATCCTTTAATAGATCTGATAATAAAATTCATACAGCCTGGCTTATTTTCCAGGCCAAGGATTGAAGGATCTCTACAGGGACGGTTATAAAGATTAGCACAGGTGGTACCTGTACATCAGCACTGCAGCCACCTTACACATTTGTAGGCAAGATTGCATTCATTTTAAGGACTTTAAAAACATTTGATTCAAATTACATTCAGCCCACCGACAAGGAGCGTTAACATGGCCAGGGGACATATCTGCATGACATTTTATGAAGCATGCTGTGGCTGGTGGGTGTAACTGCTTGCCCCCATAGGGACTGTGCAGCAACCCCAATTCAGTGGGACATTACAGTTGACACACACACACCCACCCCATCAGGGCAGCACATTATCTCCTGAATGCCTGTCAATCAGTTCTATGCAACCTATGAAAAGCAATCTACCACTGATCACTTTTCAGAACCATTTACAAACCTGGCGCATGTTTGACAAGGCCTAACAAAGATCAAAATGTGACTGTATGTGGCCAGTAAGACTCTGCTCACACTTAGGTGTCTCAGGTGAGCTGAAAAAAGACCTGCTTTCTGCATCTTTTCTTCAGTTTCCAGCAAAACCTGGATTATATCGGAATAAATGGTAAATCATGCAAGAAAAACCTGAAACATAGAATTTATAACACCCACGACAGACAGGTATGAATAAAGCCTTACTGTTAAATGAAAGTCCATTGCTGGTCATATGGAGGTGGATGAAGAAATTCCCTCCCTCATCGTGACATTGTATTTTGACAGTGGCACCTGCTGCTGTCAGAATACTTTGACCAGCAGCTGCAAACAATCAGATATAGCTCGATATAAATTTTCCAATATGTCCCTTCAACATAAGTCAACCAAACAATTGACTTCTGGGGGTAGGTAGTGACCAAACTACTACTGGATCGGCCAAATTTTGATCAGTGGTCGGTTAGCATTATCCAGCAACTGTCTTGACTTAACAGCAATGGATATACACTGATGTGGAAAGCAGTTATAATATAATTTTTGTCAGCTGATAATTAGCCCATAGCTGGTGTGGAGAGTAGCAGAACGAGCTATCACATACAAGACTGCCACTTCTTGAGTTTTCACTGGTTGGTCTGGGAATTTTAGATACACTTCCCATCTGGCACCGGTGTAATGACCTTTCTCAGTATCAAGCAGAAAACAAACCACTGAGCTTCTTTCCAACTTTAAGCAGATGGGTACTGTGCATGGCTGCCCTTCCTACTATTATCTCCTACTGAAAGGCATTTAATATGAAAAGCAAAAAAGTACTTTAAAAATGTTTAACTTCTTTTTAATTTAACAAGACTACAAACTGATGTTAAAAAACAGTTTTTATAATTCTTATATAACTTTTATACGACAAGCAAATATTAAGCAGGATGGTCTGTGGTAAGAAGTATCATAAACTTTCTAATACGGAAGCCCAACACCCCCTACATGCTTGTTGGTAGCCTTCGTTTTAACTGGGAAATTTAGAAGAGTCTCTTTTTTTTTTTTTTTGAAGACAGGGTGGCAGTAGGCTAGATAAACTACTGTCAGTGCACAAAATATTTTGCACACAGATACCTGTTTTTAGCCTACGTTCACACTACTGCAGGCCATGTGGCTCACGTTTGCTCGGGCACAACACTCCATTCATTTGAATTGGCTGCTGTACCCATGTTTCCTGCAAGAAAAAGGTGCACGCACCTTTTTAAAAACGTGGCTGCAGGGAAACTGCACGGTCTTCGGGCTGGTTGCAGGTTCAGTAATCGCACTTGTTCCTGAACCCACAACCACCCAAAGCCCAATTGTGCTGCTTATGCAGTGCAGCACGTTTGCCTGATCCGCGGGCCACGTGGCTTACAGCAGAGTAAATCTAGGCTAATGGATCGACCAAGCAAGAATTCAGTTTGATGGGTTTGAAATTAAAACTTAGACCAATGCAATAAAAATTAAAAAAAAAAAAAAAAAAAGGAAGAAGGAAAATCACAAGTGCAGTATTTTTCACAAAAAAAGTCTCACAATCTGTACCAAAAAAAACCTATGGAACAGAAAATGAGTTTGTAAATATTTGAAGCAATAGAGGTATTGCAGTAGTTCACCAAGAAGATGCTAGAGCAAGACAGTTATACATTCCTACTATGTGCAAAACTAACTGTGCTACAACATAATTGTTTGACATGCGGTGCGCCAAAATAAGGTGTTGCATGTGACAATTTGCATTTCTCAGCAATTGCCAATCCTAGTTTATCTGGTCCAGTGTGTTCAAGCAGAGAGGAAATGAGATGGCGCTCCTCTTAGTCTTTCAGCAGCTACTGTATAAGTATCGTTATAACCCTGCTGCACATAGGCAGGTTTTTAAGCAAGCAGAAAGATCCTGCTCTGCTTTCAGCTCACCACCTCCTGGGTGCAAATTGTATAAATGAAATAATCACGTGTAATATCCTATCTTAATTTATGGTTCTGAACATAAAAGATAAACATATCCATTATATATTCCATTTAAGAGCTAGTAGGGCTTATGGGGGTGTTTGGCTTTTAAATAGATGGGATGACAAAACAGGGTTAGTACACAGAGAGGAAGGAAAGAAGGTGCTATGCGACTGGGGGAGGGGGGGGGGGGGTTTATGGGTTACCCAAATATTTCTTCTCAACGAAGGTGCTTACTAGAAGTATAAAACTTGGCAGCATACAAACATCTAATAACTAAATGCCAGTGCCAGAAGCAATCTATGTTCACACCACTTGGTATCTCTAGATGGTTATCAGACATGAGACGCCATGTAGATTAGCCGGTAGCTGTGAAGTCTGAGTTAGGTCTCTCCTACCTATGTTCTCCAGTTACATTAGTTTATGATGGAGTTGCTAACGCTCACGTTACACCAGCGCAGCTGCTGGTTCCCTGTGGCTCGTGTGATCTTAGTAATTCTGCAAGCCAGTGCATAACGAATGCATTAAGAAGGTCTGCAACCATTTCATTTTCCAGCGCCTTGCTGGACCAAGTACGTCTAAGAGACTTGAGACAAGCCAATCTCTATAGAAAAAAAAAAAAAAAAAAAGAAAAAAGAAACTAAGTATCTGCTAACCCAATAGCTGAAACCAAAACAAACCATCTTACGGTAGTGTGAGACCAGAAATCTGTTTATTAGACCAGTATACCTACTGTATGTTCCAACACGAGTTAGGGTGAAACCACATCATTTGACATAACTCACAGATGCTTCCGATGTGCTATTTAAATTGCTTTAGGATCTTACAATATATTAACACAGCTATAAACAATTAATATTCTGCAGCTTACTAGTCTTCAGATTGGCATTAGTTTTCTTTTTCAAGCCAAGTACAGGAAAATCCATTTTGGTCCTACCAGAAATCTAGTA